CGGGGCAGGGGGGGGGGGGGGGGGACACGGGGGTACAATGCCCCCTGTAAATTTTTTGAATGGAAACGAACGGACTCTTCTACGTTTTCATTATAAGATGTTATGGTGGTGGTCCTAAAGAAAATGTACCTTCAGGCAACAGAGAAAATAGAAACTTCAGTTTTTGACAACCATCGCGAGCGTAGCCGCCTTCGGCGGCAAAAATGCTGAGACTAGCGATCCGCAGAATTAGTTTTTAGTAGTTTTATGGGGCCAAGGCAAGCTTAAAACCTTTGTCCCTTGAAAATGGTCATTTTTCAATAAAACACTGTAATTTCAACTGCAGAAAACTTGCTATTTATTATGAGTAGTCGATAAACAACTTCATCATCTTTGCACAATGAATATCTTTGGTATTTCTGAATTTTCCAAAGTTTTCGGTATTTTTTAAACGCATTACTTTTTTTATAAAAGTGAAATCGATCGATAATAAGTTTGACTATTTCTAACTGAGAAACTTCTCTGAACTGGTTGCCAAGGCTTATTTTCTTGCTGAAAGGCTCAAATTCTGGCAAATCATTGCCACTTTGGCCGCTTTTAGCGGCACAGGTATTGAGAAATTTTGTAAGCTTTATGTGACCATTTTCCTTTCCGAAACTCAGACACGCAGAAATTTCGAAAAAGCACTAGTTTTAAGGATGAATAGAACAAACTATTCATCTTTCATTGTCTAGGTCGGTTTTGACGAAATTTTCAAGCAGAATAGCAGTTTTCATTAAAATTTTAACACGTTCTTTCCGGAAATCTCGTCCAAAAAAAAAGAATCAGTAGGAAAATGTCAATAAAAACTACTGTTTTGGTCAAAAATCTCGTCAAAGCCGACATTAATAAAAGCTGAGTAATTTGTTCTTTTCATACATAAAATTCGTGCTTTTACAAGATCCCTGTATATCTGGGAAAGCTTACAAAAGAAAGTAGAAATTCTGTTCAATCCCTGAGAAAGTTTTCACTTCGTGAAAAACTATGTACAATTTTTTGGTAATTTATGGAGCTTCTCGACCATCAACATCTTTGCATGAAATTGCGTTGGGAACAGCAAGACCTTCTTATATTTTCGACTACTCGAAAAACTAGCATTTGTTCTGATGCGAAAAAACTTCAGGACATTTCTGATCGCATAAAATATTTTCATCCATCGCAAAAATTCTTAAAGGGGCAATGCCCCCCCCCCTTGTAAATTTTTTCTGGCTACGCCACTAATTATCAAACTTTTTCGTTCAATAAAAGAAAAAAATTTACCACGACTATGCAATATGCGTGTTGATGTAACATTATAGTACTGTTTAATAAGAAAAGGTGTAATTACATCAAATAATTCCATATGATCATCATCATCAAGAAATTCACATTATGTTGTTTATGATATGCTATTAGAAGTTGGATATTTTCACCAACAAATTGATCTGATTATGCGGTCAAATTCAAATATTTAATTTATTTCAATAGAATACATCGGTATCGAATTCTTAATTAAATAAGTTTTCTTCTAATAAAAGAACAAATGAAGTATGATATTTTTAAAATTATTTAATCAAAATCTTTTGTTTTAATAGACAATTTTATAAATGGATAAAAATAATATGAAAGTTTCTCCAAATTCTCTAGTACCAAACTCATCATTGTCTTATCAAATAAATGGATTGATTCAATCAGTTTTCCAATCAACTAATAAAAATGATGAAATGAATGGCACATGTCGATTAAATCCAGCCGTCGTTGAATGTGAATTTTCACAAAAGTTGAATAAAGTATAGCGAAATCTGGATGAAGAACAAGACTCAAATACAATAAGAAAAAAACATCTTAAAATATGTTAAATTCAAAGTTTGAACTATTTTTTTTTTCTTAAAAAATCTTTATCTTGATATAGATTTCCAAAAGATGTTAATATTAATTTATCTCGTCTGATTAATGTTTTAGGTGAAGGTCATTTTGGAAAAGTAAATTTGTTTTTATTTTGAAAAAATAATGAATTTAATTCGGGTAATATAATGAGAATATGTCTCCTCATAAAGTTTATTATGTATGGTATATTAGTGCGAGATGAAGTTGAATTAATAAATCTTAGTGAACATATATTTTTCATAAAACTTTATCCGTATTTTCACACTGATGATCATATTATATTTGTAATGGAATATTTATGTAATGGTGATCTAATGACACATATTCATGAAGATGACTTTAGTGAACAACGTTCATGTTTTTATATTGCTTGTTTTATACTTAATTTAGAATTTTTATATTCAAATAAAATCATTTATCGAGGTCTTAAACTTGATAATTTACTTTTAGATCAATAAGGCTACCTTGAAATTGCAGAGTAAAATGTTGTTTATTTATCAACTCGATTATTTTAGTTTTGGTCTTTCCAAAGAACGTGTTGATTACGGTGAAATCACAAGTACATTTTATAGTACATCGAAAGTAAATTTATAATTGTTTTTTTAGTTGTTTTCAGTCTGATTTTGGTTCTTGGCTCTGAAATACTCACTGAACGTTCATATTAGTGGATTTTAGATAATTAATTATGACATTTGTTTGATTTTTAATCAGTGTAAATAGGTGTTTTAATTTGATAAAATGTTAGTTGAAGAATTTCCTTTTCCAGTGCATGAAGAAGAAGAAGAAGAAGATGTTTTTTATTGAATTGTAAATAAAGAAGCCAAATTTGTAAACTTTCTTCCTGTTGAATCGATAACTATTATGAAACATGTAGGATCATTATTTTATTTTTCATGCATTATTTTGTTGAATTCATCAATTTATTTAAAGCTTCTCCGCAAAGATATTGCGCATAGATTAGGTAAGTACTAGCAAACATGATACTATTGATGTTTAACAACGATGTTTTTTTAAGGTTCATTTTATTGAATTATTTATTATTAAACAAAATTCTCTTATGCTTTTTTTTTCAGAATATCATATTAGAAGATGTGTTGGCAAAGAAAACTAAACCATCTTTTATTTCTATTGTAGTTTGTGTTTTTATAATTTCAAACAAGAATTTCTCTTTTTAATGGATTTTCTTTTGTTATTTTCAGCAAAATATAGATGGTGTTTCCAATTTTTATACAGAAT